CTTGAAGCATATTTATTTTGTGGTTAGAGTCATCCGGGAAGTTCCCCCCCAACACCTTCTGCCAAGAGAGGGGTGGCAGCAGAGTCTCCCCTGCAGAGAGAGGTGTGTATCGGCAGGCTCGGACTGCCCCCCTCTGAGACAGGATGGGGCTTAGCGCACACCCTTCTCATCAGCACCTCCCACGGGCTAACTCAGGTGTCTGCGTGCCTGACGGGTTAGCTTTTCAAAGCAATGAGCGCTCTTGTGGCACCTTGGGCCTGGTCTACACTCGGACTTTATTTGGAAATAACCCCCCCCTTCCCGGTCGAATGTATAAACAGAGCGTCCACACGACCAAGCCTGTAATTTCACAGTGACGGGCCGCGGAATTAGAAATCTGGACTCCTGCTTTTCCTCAGGAGTCAGGCTAATTCAGAAATAGTTATTCCGAAATAACGGTCGCGGGGGTGCGGCTATTTTGAAATAACGACTCTCCAGAGATAATTTGAACTACCTACTCCCCAGTGCTTCTTGGGGCTCTAAGTTGGAGGTAGCACATCCACATTAACGGAGCCTGCCTTGGACTCATTTCGAGGCTTACCCATAGTGTGGATACACTTGTTCTAATTTGTTAAATCGGGAGTTATTAAGTCGAATGTACTAATTTTGAAAGTTTCCTAGTGTAGACACAGTCTTAGAGACTAACAAAAATATACAGATAAGCTCATGAGCTTTTGTGGGAAAAACCCACTTCCTCAGCTGAGTGAATTGCTCTCTTCCTTCCTCATCTAGGAACTCAGGCCCCTAACTCCGGTGTGAATTGCCGGGATTTTCCAGGTGCTGGAAAGTCGAGCACTGTGATGCTTAGTGTCACCGCACCTAACTCCGTTTGTGCATTCGGGCTCCCGTGAACGAAAGATAAAATGTATAACACAGAGTCAGCAGTGCACTAATTTTGATTTAACAATGTACAAGAAAACAGATCTGTTTTAAAATGTCCTTGCCCACGTATGCTTTATGTCTAATTGCGCATGACAGGTACTAAACAAAAACAGAAAATAAAACATTAACCTATAATTAGAAAAGAAAAAAAAATTGCGCAGCAGCAAATTACACAAGGCAACTACCTCTGTAAAAATTTCCTTTCAGCTGCTGTGGCCCAGCCTTTACTGGTTTGGTCCGTGATAGACTGTGACTCACTTTTGCAGCAGTGACACCTGCCTGTTTGAAACACTGCGATTTAAATGAGACACTGGATTATCAGGCACTCAGTCAATATAAGAGGAGACAAGTGCTTCTGTGAGTGTGTGGCTCTGGAACCATTTTCATAGTGACTTTTGGAGAAGGACCCCAAATGTAAGGAACCTGGGATCCAATCCTGCAAGACTTCGATTCAGTTTCTCCCAGGTTACGTCTACACTGCATGGCTATTTTGGGATATATCCCGAAATAGCTACCCCGCATCTACACAAGCTGCTCATTATTTCAAAATATTGTGCTATTTCGTCATCCCAATAAACATTATTTCAAAATATTGTGCTATTTCGTCATCCCGATAAACCTCATTGCATAAGGTTTAAGGGATGGCTCGAAATAGCGTGTTATTTCGAAATTTGGTGCTGTGTAGATGCACCACATTTCAAAAGACGCTATTTCGAAATAGAGTTGAGATAAGATACGCAATTGGCGCGGAGCAAATTGCTTATCTTATTTCGAGTTTAGGGTGCTTCCCTCGTCAACAAGGAAGAACTACTCACATGTGTAAGTATTTGCTGTATTCCTGGGGTTCCTAGACATTTTGAGTCCCCTGAACCAAAACACCTCAGCCTGACGGAGGATCAGCTTAATTGTCACTTACTTGTATGTTCCTTTTGATGATCTCCCGGGTTAGCTGGACCTTTCCAGTGCTCGGATCCACTCCCGCCAGGGGCACCATGACTTCTCCAATCACATCGTCTCGAGAGAAGCGATCAAAACTGAGCACCAGGAAGTGAAGCACCAAATCCTGGAGCTGGCTGTAGGGGATCCCATAGAAGGTGAAGGTCTCATCAAAGACCGGGTCCAGAGTCTTGCGCAACACACGAGTCTTGACTCGATGCCTTTTGTCTGGAAGAATTGTCATCTTGATGTAGGGATCAGAGCCTTGAGTGTGCTCATCCATCACTGGCAGCCCGTGGGCCTCTTGAATGGTCACTACCAATGCTTTCTTGGGGAAGTTGTAGTCCACTGAGAAAGTCAGTGTTCCCAGCAGGACATCTTCTTCTGGGGAAGATGGGGAGGAGATTTTGCTCCCACCTGGAGTGATGCTTTGATCTGGACTTAGTTCATCTCCGTAATCCACTTTTATTGGGAGCTGGTCAATACAGGGGGCTCCATTCATCCCATTTGGGGCCTTTTCAGAGCCCACTAACCCAGCTTCGGCAGCATCTATCAAAAGGTTTCCTTTCCCAGTCTCCTTAACAGTGCCGTTCTTGTCTCTGCGGATCCGGATAATTTTCTTCTTGTTACTCAAGGTCTCCGGATAGATACTGATGCCTTTCAGCATGTGAATGAATTTGTAAGGGGGGTTTTTGTGCTTTTTTTCTGCGTGCTGGTGGCAGCACGTCCACACAAACACTGTTACTGAGACAGACACCACAAGGACCGTGGCGCCAATAAGGCCTGCCACCACGGGAGACACATCTGTAAAGAAGACAAAACAATTAGGGATGAGATAGTCTCTTAGGACAAGTACGTTCCTATATCACTTATAAAAGCATGTTATTCTCATTTACAGAAAATACCTCCGACTCCAGCTACAACCAACGAACCTTTCAAGTGACCATAGTCTATTTATTACTCAATGATCTTGGAGACAGAAATTCCTTTGGAGCTTGAAATAATTTCCCTGAAATTATTCTCTTCCATGTGGGAGTCAGTTCCCCACCCACCTCCTTGCCCTAAGTTTTGCTTAATAACATCTTCACAATGTCTCAGAGGGGTAGCCGTGTTAGTTGGTAACTGAAAAAACAACGAATAGTTGTTTTTTAAGTATCTTTCAAATGCGTATTGCCTTATGCTTGTGAATCAGTTGTGTAGGCTGTAATGGACAGGGGGAGTGCTGACCGGCACCGGGTGACTAAGGGGTTAAGTTCAGGTAGCTAGCAAGGTGTTGGCCAGGGATCGGGAGAACCAATCAGATAGAGGGTTGAAATGTGAATTGGATGTAGGTTCCTTGCCTGCTTTCTTTGTGTGGGAGAGAGAAATGATTTAAACCCAGGCAGGACTACCATGCCTCCACGGAATTCAGGGCATGGGAGTGTATTGACCAAAGAGAAAATGAGAAGTAAGAAAAGGGAATCCAGTCATGTTCAGGGTATTTTTTTTTTGTGGTTTGGTTTGAACTGCTCTGTGTGATTGTGTGCCTCCCCTCCCACGTTACCATCTAAGCATGGTTCCTAGAGATTTTCTCTGTGTTTTTTTTTAATTTGTTTTCTTTAGTGCTCTGTAACATCTAGCAACCAAGTATGCTTTATTATAAAGCGATAAGAATCACTTCTTTTAAGGTGATGATTTGACTCTTGTGCCTATCCAGGGTGGTCAAGCGCAGGGCTTGAACCCATGATTCCAGAGGCAAGTACCTTATCTACTGCAGGAGCTAGCCCCCCACACCTCCCTACATTCTGTGCCCCTGTTATTTATCACACATACCAAGGGTGCCTGGGGTCCAGGTTGGGGCTTGAACCCTTGACCTGCAGATCCAAAGTTGTGTATCTTAGCCACTGGAGTAGGCTCTAACCACTTTATGTTCTGGGACCTCCTTATCCCTCCTACGTCCCAAGGGTGGGGCTCGAACTCATGGCCTGTGGCTATGGAGACAGAGCCCTTAGCCACTGTGCATGGAAGATCTGTCTGCGCATAGTTGCAGGCCTCTGACGGAGGGGTCACCTACCAGAGACTGCAGCTTGTTTTTCTCTTTTCTTTTTCCAAGCTCTTTTGGGGCAAGAGCGCTGGGCGGGTGTGACGGGGGGGGGAG